TTAAAAGGGTTTACTGATAGGAGTATATGTTTAAAAGGGTTTCGAGATCATGACTTTACTATATTTGGAAGACATTCTTTATAGAATAAGTTCTAGTATTAACCTTGGAGAGAAATTGCAAACCACAGCAAAAGACTTGAGTCATTATTTGATCATTTCTTTAAGAAGTAGGGTAAATGATTTGTTCTTCATTAAGAGGAGCTGAGAACAAACCTATCTTGAACCCAACTCATTTTAGGTAGATTGAACCCTTTCAGCGGGTTCAAATCATAATCTTTTAACCCTGTAATTCTGAAAAACATGGAGATCCCTGAGTACACCACCTTTTCCTCAGCAGAAATTAAATAACATATAAGATCTTCAAAACCTTAGACTTTAGCTATTCACCACCTCATAGCTTTGCATTACTGATGCGCTGGAACCTAAATTGGGTAGTGTCCAAGAAAATGAGCATTACTAATGCAAATATTGTTTGAATTAAATATTGATCTGAAAATAAACAGATTTCACCCCAAGGTTTCTTAAAAACATATCTTATAGTTATATTTTATTTCTAGAAAATGGCACTCACCTGCATCCATTGCAACGACTGAAACATTGTATTGGTTGTTTTTTACAAATTTTGATTCTCTGTCTAATACTTTTAGAGTTCTCAAGTCGCCAGTATGTTCGTTAATTTCAAACCAGTTATCTACGTCATTGAACTTCTGATACCTAATTTTTAGAAATCAAATGTAAATGATCAAACCAAAGAGGGAACATAATCTTAAAATTTGTCATTTTGAAAAATACATAGAAACTTTCCTAAATTTAAAATCAATTTACATCACAATTAAAATTAAGGAGCTTTTTGAAAAGTAAGTTACCTTAAGCCTTCCCCATTGCGTGATTCTGGGTCTAGCGCTTTGTATCCAAGGAGTTGTTGGCCAGCCGGGATGCCATCTCTACTCTGAATAACTTTTACTGGTGGATTGCATTCAGGGCCCTCGTCCCTGTCTTTAATTTTAACAGTGACAGTTGTAGTGCACATTGTAGGAGTTTGTGAGTTTGCTGCTTTAGAGAATTGTGCTTCGTTAAGTACACCAATTTGTAAAACAACTTGGCGATTGACTTCATAGTTCAATGGCTGTTCAATAAACATACTTTAATCAGTCAATATAAAACATACAGAAGACTTATGATTATGATTTCAAGTTTTCACACAAAGGGAATATCATTTTTATGTTAAAAATGTCTCCAAAAGTTGGAACTAATATAGTTAAACACTATTAATTAACTTCCTAAAATGACAACACTATCAAATGCAAAATTGTTGATTTTAAAATTCAACCAATTTTTCTTCTCACTTTAGCTTCAGAAGACCCTGATTTCATTTTTTTCATTACAAGTTTAAATATTAGTAGAGATACAGGATAAGTGTTTGGAAAAAATTCAATTATTTTATTAGTTATCATAAGGGGTAACAGTGTTAACTAAAGTTCTTCCAAGTATGTAAAATACTTAAAGATGTGGCTATAACAGAGCAGTTACTCTAAGTATATGAGTCAAAATATATAATGATATTATTTAGCATCACCTTTTGAAAGCATGTTAGATTAGGGTCTGCTTAGTTCCTGATCAAACTGCTCAATCCTAAACTGTATAATTAGAAAGAATCCTAGAACAACAGTTAAGTGCTGAAGGAAAATCATGGGAAATAAATCTGGAAAGCAAGGAGGGGGAAGAGGGGGGAAAGAGGGAAAGGAAGGGAAGGGAAGGGAAGAGAAGGGAAGGGGAGGGGAGGGAAGGGAAGGGGAG